GAAAGCATAAGAGAAACTAGGGAAATCAAGAAAAGCCTCAGAGATGAGGGACAAGTAGGATGGGTTCAAGGGCACGAGGGCTGGGTCAGCCTTGTGAAGGCGGATGGCCATGCAGCCAGTCTGCTTCAGGAAGGACCCGATGGACAGATGGAGACACAGGAGCCAAGCTGAGAGGTGACGGCAAAGCCACTTGTCAGGCCTCGGTAGAGAAGGAGGCCTGGGGCTGGGGAGAACCATGAAGCTTTGAACTTGCTGTTAGAGGGAGCAGGGAGCCGCCTGGGTCAAGTCCAAGGATTGTCAGGCACAAAGCTGGAGCTTATTAATCAGTAATAAAGCCAGGCGATGGGCTTATGGATTTTGCCCTAACAACCTGGGAGCAAAGTGAAGGAACAAACATTTCAGACGCCAGTTCCCTTCCAGCTGCCTGGCCCGTGCTGGCTTCTCCTCCCAAGGCAGAGTGTCTAGCTGGGCCTGTCTCTGGCCCTCCAGCCAGGCACCCGCCGCTGCAGCCTCTGTGGCCTTTGCCGTGTGTTTTACCTGTTGTGCACTTGGCCACTTTGGACCCCTAGCGAGGCCCCAGGTGCATGTGGCGGTGCTTGTCGGGGGGCCAGTATGGGATGCAGGGTGCATCTGCTTTGTTGACTGCCAGCCCCCAAGCTCCCTTTGCTCGAGGGGCAGAATCGTCAGAGGTTCCTGGCAGTCAGCTTTTTCCAGAGCCCTAACCTTTTGCCTGCTTCCACGCCTCTCAGGCATCCCCAGTGTAACAGAATAAATGGCTTGAAAAAAATGGCAAAAATGTTCCATGTACTTCCAAAACTAAAAAAAAAAAAAAAGAAAAAAAAATGGCAAAAATGTTTAATGTCTCTTTAAAACATCCCTCACTCCTTTTGGGGAACTAAAACCTGCATCCCTGCCAGTGGTTGGGAGGAGCAGGGATGTGTCATTTGTTCTCTGTGCCATAGGAGATGGCTCAAGGGAATTGTCTGGGCTGAGGTCATGAGATCATCTTAGCCAAAAATGGGTGAATCGAGCAAAGCTCACGAGACTGCCTTAGCAAAAGATGGGATTGATCAGAACCTTTAAAAGCTCTGCACTTCTGCTCAGAAGCAGGACGTTGGTACTGTGAGACTGGAGTCAGCCAACCTCCTCATTTGCCAGCAGATTAATAATCTTCTCTTTCCTTCTCCTCAAGCCACTTGTCCTCGTTTTTTCTGATGTAGCCTCAGGGACAAGTGCTGAACTTTCAGTTAACACATCCATCTCTAGAACTTTCTCATCTTTCCAAACTGAAACTCTGTACACCTTAAACACTAATTACCCATTTTACCATCTCCCCAGCCCCTGGCAACCACCATTCTACTTTCTGTCTTTATGAGTGTGTTTACTGTAGATACCTCAGATAAGTGGAATCTTATAATATTTGTCTTTTGTGTCTAGCTTCTTCACTTAGTGGAATATCTTCAAGGTTCATCCACGTTGTAGCATATGTCAGAATACCCTTTCTTTCTTTTTTTTTTTTTTTTTTTGAGACAGAGTCTCGCTTTGTTGCCCAGGCTAGAGTGAGTGCCGTGGCATCAACCTAGCTCACAGCAACCTCAAACTCCTGGGCTCAAGCAATCCTTCTGCCTCAGCCTCCCAAGTAGCTGGGACTACAGGCATGCGCCACCATGCCTGGCTAATTTTTTCTATATATATTAGTCGGCCAATTAATTTCTTTCTATTTATAGTAGAGACAGGGTCTCGCTCTTGCTCAGGCTGGTTTCGAACTCCTGACCTCAAGCAATCCACCCGCCTCGGCCTCCCAGAGTGCTAGGATTACAGGCGTGAGCCACCGCGCCCGGCCTCCTTTCTTTTTAAGATGAATAATATTCTATTGTGGGGATATATTACATTTGTACACCCATGCATCCACTGACAAGCATTTGGACATTTGGGTTGTTTCCACAAGAATGTATTGGGTTTTGTTTTGTTTTTCTGAGACAGAGTCTTGCTCTGTCACCCTGGCTAGAGTGCAGTGTTGTCATCATAGCTCACTGCAACCTCAAACTCCTGGGCTCAAGTGATCCTACTGCTTCAGCCTCCCAAACAGCTGAGACTACAGGTGTGCACCATGATGCCCAGCTAATTTTTCTATTTTTTGTAGAGACGGAGTTTTGCTCTTGCTCAGGCTGGTCTTGAACTCCTGACCTCAAGCAATCCTCCCACCTCAGCCTCCCAGAGTGCTGGGATTACAGGCATGAGCTGCCATACCTGGCCAAGAATGTATTCTTATGTGAAAGAGTATCAGTTAATCTCATTGATTCTCATTCCCAACCGATTCGTCAGATGGTCTCAGTTCCTGTTTTATGCAGAGGAGAGCTACAGGCATGCCTCCCTCCCTCTGTGTCTATAATCATACAGCCCCATAGGCCAGGTCCTCTTGACATTCTCTATCCTGTGATGTTTGCCTCTGTGTCTTTGTCCCACTGATTTTGCCTTTCTCCTAGCAGTTTCTGTTGCCGAATCCTCTCTCTCTCTTTTTCTTTTTCTTTTCTTTTCTTTTTTTTTGAGACAGAGTCTCACTTTGTTGCTAGAGTGCCGTGGCATCAGCCTAGCTCACAGCAACCTCAAACTCCTGGCCTCAAGCAATCCTCCTGCCTCAGCCTCCTGAGTAACTGGGACTACAGGCATGTGCCACCATGCCTGGCTAACTTTTTCTATATATTTTTAGTTGGTCAATTAATTTCTTTCTACTTTTTTAGTAGAGATGGGGTCTCGCTCTTGCTCAGGCTGGTCTCGAACTCCTGACCTTGAGCGATCCACCCACCTCGGCCTCCCAGAGTGCTAGGATTACAGGTGTGAGCCACCGTGCCCAGCCTCTCTTTTTCTTATTTCAGAATATTACAGGGATACAAACGCTTTGGTTTGGTTACATAAATTGCCTTTGCAGTGCCCAATCCTAATCCTCTCTTGATGCTCGCCCTGCCTAGCTGTTCCCTTCCTGGCCCCTGGGACTAGTCCAACTCTGCCCTTGTTCAATCACTCCTTGCTGTTTGTATCTATGGTACTTTACAGGTTAGCAAAAAAATGTATCTTATTTCTGTTATCATGACTTCTCAACTAACTGTAGGCACCTCTGGAAGGGTGCCCATTGCTCTAAGTTTGATACTGGGCACAGTGATTTACAGAGGGCCGATTCCATAGCATCCTGAGAGCCTGGCCAAGCAATTTCGACTCAGTGTTACTGGGAATATTCTTAAACAAGGCAGTGACAAAACCAAGCCGTATTTTACACAGATTTGTGTTTCCCATGGGAGGGGAACTAAACAAAATGCCCTTTGCAAGGCCTAAGATCTGTGGCTTTCTCGCCATATCTGATAGCTTGCTCCTGTTTTATTGATAAAACAGTTCCTGTCTTATCAATAAATGGACAATAGGCCTGGCACGGTAACTCACGCCTGTAATCCTAGCACTCTGGGAGGCTGAGGTGGGAGGATCCCTCGAGGTCAGGAGTTTGAGACCAGCCTGAGCAAGAGCAAGACCCCGTCTCTACTAAAAAAAATAGAAATAAATTAGCTGGACAACTAAAAAATATATATATATAGAAAAAATTAGCCGGGCATGATAGTGCATGCCTGTAGTCCCAGTCACCCAGGAGGCTGAGGCAGGAGGATTGCTTGAGCCCAGGAGTTTGAGGTTTGGACTGTCGAGCTAGCTGTGATGCCATGGCATCACTCTAGTCTGGGCAACAGAGTGAGACTCTGTCTCAAAAAAAAAAGAAAAGGACAATATATATGTACTGTACATCTGGGGTTGGCATTCAGAATCATGACTGTGAAGTCACTATGCAGGCCTTGTGGCACGTGATGGGATAGGAGTCAACATGGTGAAGAGGAAAGTATGCTGAAGAGATCTGAAAATCACATGTGATCACTATCAATGGCTTTATGCCAATTAATTTGGAAAATTAGATGAAAGAGAATCTTCTAGATGTAAAATAAAATCAATCCAATAAAAAATGGGATAACAGGGGCCGGGCGCGGTGGCTCACGCCTGTAATCCTAGCTCTCTGGGAGGCCGAGGCGGGCGGATTGCTCAAGGTCAGGAGTTCAAAACCAGCCTGAGCAAGAGCGAGACCCCGTCTCTACTAAAATAGAAAGAATTAATTGGCCAATAAATATATATATATAAAAATTAGCCGGGCATGGTGGCACATGCCTGTAGTCCCAGCTACTCGGAGGCGAGGCAGAAGGATCGCTCCGGCCCAGGAGTTGAGGTTGCTGTGAGCTAGGCTGACGCATGGCACTCACTCTAGCTGCGGCAACCATATACTCTGAGACTTCTGTCTCAAAAAAAAAAAAAAAAAGGATAACAGAATAAATCAATAACCTCTTTTTAAAAAATGAAACAGAATGTTAGAAATCTCTCCCAAGGCCCCTACCCCACCTCCACAAAAGAAAGAAAAAAAGAAAGGAAGGAAGGAAGGGAACCAGGTTCAGACAATTTCATGGATGTGTTTTACCCAATATTCAAAAAAAATAGGATTCCTTCAGAGTAGAGAAGGGAAAATAAAATTGAAAAATTAACAACAAAAAAAAATATACCTTTACCACGGCCAGGAGAAAAAAAAGTAGGAAATCCTTCCTTACATAAACTTTTACAGAAAATAGAAAAGAGGGAAAGCTGCCTGATTCGTTTTATGGAGCTATTAGAATTCTGATATTCAACAAGACAGTTACAGTAACAAGAAGAGAAAGAAATTGGCTGAACTCATTTATGAACACAAATCCAAAAATCCTAAACAAAATATTAGCAAGTTGAATCCAGTAGCATATAAGATGCTACAATGCTGTGGCCAAGCAGGATTCTTACAGGAATGCAAAGATGGCTCAACATCAGCAAAGCTATCATGGAATTCATTGTATTGATAGAAGAAAGAAGGAAGAACACTGGTGTGACCATTAGGAGACAGATTTAGGTTCTATCTGTGCTCTGCCATTACTAGCTGTGTAACCTATTACCTCTTCCATCCCCTCAAGGGGTCTCAGGAGGGGTTCTTCAACTGGAGAGGAGGACACAGCGTGAAGAAACAGCCTGCTGCTCTCTCTGTCCCATCTTCTTCATCTGTAACATGAAGAAACATTCGAATTCCATGATTTTATAAGCTTTGTGAAGGAAACATGATGGAGTCCAACAAAACAGCAAGGGAATTTTGCTGTGTAGCTGGGTTCTGGCTAAGTAATCGTGTCCATGGTGCTGGTGGCCTCCTCAGAGATCAAGCTGGCAGTGCCACCCTGTGGCCTGTTGGGAAGTGCATAGAGGCACAGTCACCACTAGGGCAGACTGCAGACAAGAAGAAACACATCTGGACTACATACAGTGGTGGATGAGGAAGTACACGCCACCACCTGAAGAAGTTTTGAAAATGAAACAAAACCAACTCTGCTCAAGTCTCTAGATCTCTAATGTCCAATACAGTAGTCACTAGCCCCATGTGGCTATATAAATTTAAATGAATTAAAATGAAATAAAATCGAATATTTAGCTCCTTAGTTTCACTGACCCCATCTCAAGTGCTCAGTAGCCACATGGGGCTAGTGGCTACTATATTGGACAGCACAGATATAGATCATCTCTATCATTGCAGACAGTTCTATTGGACAGCCTTGCTGTAGCTCTACCGACCAATTTACAGGGAATACCGAGGAGAGAGGAACATGTTAAACTGCAATATGAGGATGCACTGAGCAATATTCAGGTTATGGGAAACTCTTATAGACAAACTGTCCAGTTTTTCCAACAACAAACTGCAAGAAAAAAATGAGATGGAGGGTAAATATAGACTAACAGGCTTAAGAAACATCCCAAATGCAATGTATTGGCTTATTTGGATCTGGAGTCAAACAAACTATAATAAATGTATAAGACAACTGGGGACACGTGAATACTGACTAGATACTTGATATGAAGTAACTATTTTTATGGTGGGTGTTAATAGCATTGTGGTTATGGTTATTATGGTCTTTTTTTTCTTTTGAGACGGGGTCTTACTATGTTGCCTAGGCTGGTTTTGAACTCCTGGGCTCAAGTGATCCTCCTACCTTAGCCCCCGAGTAGCTGGGGCTACAGGTGCGTGCTAACACACCCAGCTTGTGGTTATGCTATATTATTTTATTTTATTTTTTGAGACAGAGTCTCACTCTGTTGCCTGGGCTAGAGTGCCGTGGCGTCAGCCTCGCTCACAGCAACCTCAAACTCCTGGGCTCAAGCAATCCTCCTGCCTCAGCCTCCCGAGTGGCTGCGACTACAGGTACATGCCACCATGCCTGGCTAATTTTTTGTATTTTTTAGTAAAGATGGGGTCTTGCTCTTATTCAGGCTGGTCTCAAACTGGTGACCTCAAATGATCATTCCACTTCAGCCTCCCAGAGTGCTAGGATTACAGGCATGAGCCACCGCTCCCGGCCAACCGGGGACCTCTCTAACCAGTTCTGCCTGCTGGTCCCCTAACTGGTCTATGTGCTGCTGTTGGTGGTTCACGCCTGTGACCTCCTACAGAGGTTTGCCCTCAGGTGATTGGAGCCACTCAGACCTGAGATGCCTTGAAGTTAGTTGGGCATCTTCAACAGCCGATTGTTGTAGAGGCACAAAAGCTGCTTGTCTTGGCCTCAGCACAGAAGAGATTCTGAGGGGTCTGCTCCAGAGATCCCCATGGGATCGGCTGAGGCTAGACTTCTGAAACCACGTCCTTGCTTGGCTGTCTGCGTGAGAAGCTGTGTCCCAGGCTCTACTTTTAGGGAAGATTACCTGATACAGAAGTCTTCCTCCCCTCTGCGGGTGTAGGCAGTTGTGCCCCTGCGACTGTGCATGCACATGCAGTTTGTTTTTCTCTCGAGGGTCACACTCAGAACACAGAGTAGTGATTATGGGTTTGTTTCTTCCCGAGGCAGAGAGCAAATCTCATAAATATTTCTTTCCTCCATCCAACCTGGAAGAGTTTGAAGCCAAAAAGATCCTGGCTTGAAGTGCCCGCTGCAGAGGATTTGCAAGTGCTAGAGCTCCTGGGCTACAAAGGAAGCCATTCAGCACCTTGGTGTAGGAAAAAGAAATAAATGAAACCTAGTTCTGTGTATTGTCACACCCAATCTAATCCACTAGAATGCAGCTGGGGAGCTCTCTGCCTGATTGCTGCCTGCACGTTAAAGTAATCACCAGGCTGTTTCAGAAGAGGGAGTTGCATCTCTCAGGAAGTTGGGGAGAATCATGTCTTGGATGACTCTGAGACCATGTCTAACAGGGAGTTCATTAGGGTTATGACTGTGGAGATGCTGCTCCAGGGCTGGGGGGGTGCACTTCAGAGGGCGGAGCCTAAAGCTGAGAGGGCCAGGACGGTACTAACAATGAGTCAGGCAGAAGGGGACTGGTTAAAGAGTGAAGGTTGGAGACAGGGTAGCCAAGGGTCAGGGTCAGGTTCAGTAGGCCCCACAGGAGGTCCCGAGCTAGTTCTAAGAAGGTAATTGGAATGTTGAATATGCTTGACTTGTGCATAATGGAAACACTACTTTTATGGAGTCTCCTTTAAAATCCATTCAGTGGCCATTACCTAGATGGGATAGTTCATTATATGTATCAACTTGACTGAGCCACAGGGTGCCCAGGTATTTGGCCAAGCATTATTCTGGGTGTTTTTGTGAGGCTATTTCTGAATAAGATTAACATCTAAATAGACAGACTGAGTAAAGGAGATGGCCCTCCTTAAGGTGGGTGGGCCTCGCCCAATCAGTTGAAGGCCTGAATAGAACAAAAGGGCTGACATCCCCCAAATAAGAGGAAATTCCTTTCACCTATCTTTGAGCTGGGACATTGTTTTCTTCCTATCTTCAACTCAGAGTGAAACACTGGCTCTTTGTTGGCCTCCAGGCTGCTGTCATTTGGACTGGAACTACACCGTCAGCTCTCCTGGGTCTCCCGCTTGCTGACTCACCCTGCAAATCTTGGGACTTGTTAACCTCCATAATCACATGAGCCAATCCTACTGGTTCTGTGTCTCTGGAGAACCCTGACTAATACACTGGATAAATAAACCCCATTCCTGTATAAATACTCCAGTGGGCCCCACGATTTTCAGCTCAGTCTTAGGTAATAGATAGTCTCATAGTCCCTCAAAGTCACAAACATAGCCTCTCCCCTAATTAGAATATCCAGCCTAAGAGATTCTTCATAACTTCTCCCCTCCCTGGCTCAAGCCTGCTTCTAGCTGGGATCCTCCAGCAGGAAGTGGATGTGACTGGCTTCCTGTCTCTTTCTCCACCTTGTACTTCCCTACCCCTCTGCTAGCTCCTGAGAGGGAGGTGAGGGTGGAAGGAGGAGTGTAAAGGAATGGGCAAGGCCTCTCTTGAGCAGGTTCTGTCTCTGAGCCTGGCAGGTGTCTAAAGCCAATTATCCCCTGTGAGTTTTCATGGGCTCGGCAAAGATTCTCACCACTGGGGTCCTTTCCCAGTGGTTGTGGCCACGGAGACCTGGGTGTTGCCTCCTTCAGCCCAGGGCACTGGGCAGTACCCTCTGGCTTCTTTATGCTGAAGTCTCCCTGTCATCCCCTTCTCCAAAGTCCCTTTGGGTAGGTAGTCTCTAAGACAACCCTAAGGAGGCTGTCTCCTGTGGGGCCCAAGGAAACACCAGGACAACTTTTCTCCCAACGTGCCCTGGAAGGGTGGGCTGATCCAAATGTGGCAGCATTCCCCTGCTCCCCTGTCTTGGCCACCATGGCAGTGAGTCAGCCATCATTTGCCCCCCCCCTTATTATTTTATTTTTTTTTTTGAGACAGAGTCTTACTCTGTTGTCTGAGCTAGAGTGCCGTGGCGTCAGCCTAGCTCACAGCAGCTTCAAACTCCTGGGCTCAAGCAATCCTCCTGCCTCAGCCTCCTGAGTAGCTGGGACTGGGACTACAGGCATGCGCCACCATGCCCGGCTAATTTTTTCTATATATTTTTAGTTGGCCAATTAATTTCTTTCTATTTCTTAGTAGAGACGGGATCTCACTCTTTTTTTTTTTTTTTTTTTTGAGACAGAGTCTCGCTTTGTTGCCCAGGCTAGAGTGAGTGCCGTGGCGTCAGCCTAGCTCACAGCAACCTCAAACTCCTGGGCTCGAGTGATCCTTCTGCCTCAGCCTCCCGGGTAGCTGGGACTACAGGCATGCGCCACCATGCCTGGCTAATTTTATATATATATATCAGTTGGCCAATTAATTTCTTTCTATTTATAGTAGAGACGGGGGTCTCGCTCTTGCTCAGGCTTGTTTTGAACTCCTGACCTTGAGCAATCCGCCCGCCTCGGCCTCCCAAGAGCTAGGATTACAGGCGTGAGCCACAGCGCCCGGCCTGGGATCTCACTCTTGATCAGGCTGGTTTCAAACTCCTGACTTTGAGTGATCCACCCACCTTGGCCTCTCAGAGTGCTAGGATTACAGGTGTGAGCCACCGCGCCCGGCCCATTTGCCCTTTTGAAGTCCTGGGGGGTAGCGGACCCCAGTCTACAGCCTGCTTTAGCTTTCTCAGGTGTGGGTCTGACCTGGTCCCCCTGTCCCCTGCGGCTCTGGGTGAGCAGCACCTACCTCAGCTGCAGGAGCATCTCTCACTCTGGCCCTGGTGCTTCTTTGTGGCTGGCTGCCGGTGCTGAGGGAACTCTCTGCCGCCTTCTGCATTCTGATGTCCATGCAAACACCCCGAGGGCAGCCCTTGACAGATTCAGGCTGGGAGCCTTGGATAAATACAGTCCTCTCCCATTCTGTGGGCAGCCAATTCTGAGACGCTTTTACAGAAAGTCCCCAGTGATGTCAAGCCCCAGGTACCTATAATAATGATGCGCTTGGATCAGCTTTCCCTCTTTCCCTGTCCCTCACTCTTGTTCCTTGGGGCCATTCCACAAAATAGCTGCAAGGAAGCCCTTTTGTCAGGCTCTGCTTTGGGGGATGGTATGGGGGCTGGGGGTGAGGAGACAGGCTGGGATGGCTCCCTCATCACACTGTGGGTTAACAGGTAACACCTCCCCACACACATCCTTCCCAAATAACCTTGCATTTTCAGGGCTTGGGTGGAGTCTCAGATATAGCAAGTCCTACCCCTTCCCCCCAGATCTCTTCATCTAATTCCCCCTTCCCACTTTCTGACCTTTCCTATCTTTGATCTGGCTGAGACCTTCCAAAGCCTCTGAACAGGCCCGGGACCCATTCCTTTTGTAAATCTGTATATGGTGATTTGGCACCTGACTCTGAAATTTCACTTTTTATTTTTTACTTTTTTGAGACAGAGTCTCGCTCTGTTGCCCAGGCTGGAGTGCAGTGGCATCATCACAGCTCACTGTAAACTTGAACTCCTGGCCTCAAGTGATCCTCCTGTCTCAGCCTCCCAAAATTACAGGTATGAGCACTGCACCATCCAAATTTCACATTTATTGTAGTTTGGAGTCTCTGTAGGAGCTTCCATTTTCATATCCTATTACACACTGATCATTCAACCCAGAGTCCCCCTTCCAGAAAACACTGACATCTTGTTTTTTTTAGTGTCTATAACAGGAGTTCCAGTTTTTCTGCCATCCTAGTTCCCTCCCTCCCCCCTGAGGCCTGTTCTAAGCTGGGTTACTAACGTCAGTCTTAAAATATGCCCGCCCACTCCCTCCCCACCGCCAGCGATGCCAGTGAGGCACACTCTGTGGAAGACCTGCCTGGCACACTGCAGCTGATTGCCTCTGCCCAACTACTATGCAGCTATAAATGCAGCCCAATCTCCTGTTCCTTTTAGTAACCATGTCATCTGGCTACTTAGAAGCTCCCCATCCCTGTTCCTAATGCCTGCTGGACATTTGCACTGGGATGTCTTCAGCCTCCTGGGATTAACAAGCCCACAATGGCTCATTATGTCCTCCCACTGAGCTCTGCCTCATGAATTTGTGGTCTCAGTGAATGGAGTCACCCAAGCAGTCTCCCAGGGTAGCTAACTCAGAGGATTTCTTAAGGACTCCAGCTCCTCCACCTTCTCCATCCAATTCTACCTCTCCCGACCATCTGGGTTCTAGGGCTCAACCATGTCTCAGTTCCTGTCCCATCACCCCAACAGCCTCCTGTCTGATAGCCCCTGACCTCTGTTCTCTAGTTAGCTTTCTCCAGTCAACTCAGATCTTGTCACCTTTTGGTTTAGAAACATTTGTGGCCTTTCCATTAGCCCTATGATCTGCTAGCTCTCAGTTCATGAGCAAGAGCTACAGGTCATCACAAATTGGCCCTAACACCCTCCCCCAGTCTCAGTCCAGGCATATATACAAGGCCCATGAGCTTCCTCGAAGGTCAATATCTTGGGTCTAGCGGGACTAAGGTTTGAAGCTCTATGTACTTCTTCATGTCCACCCAACTCCCTGAATTCATCTCTGACAGTAACCTGGCAACTGTACTTTTCTGTCCCCAATCATTACTTTTTGCTCTCATCGTTTTATTCTTATACTGAGTCAGGTTTCTCAGTGATGACTACCTGCTATTAATTTTCAAAGTTCCAAGAATCACGCTGGCTGCATCCAGATAACAATCATCTGAGCATCAAGTGGCTAAGGCTTATTAGGAAGCTAAAGAAGTGGCCTGCACTCTTAGTACCCTGGCTTTGAAGGCAGGATTCCAGAACACAGTGATCTTGTCCACCCACACCCCTTAGTTGTTGATGTTGTCCTGACAGACTCAACTGGGGTACGTTCAAAGAACCTGCTTGGGTCTATGGATATGCTGAGGACAGGCCCTGCCTGGTCTTGGAGTGGCCAAAGGGCTGGAGGGGAAGGCTGGGAACCCTAGCACCCCTGGAGCAAATGCAAAGAGCCAACCAAATCAGCCACCCAGATTGTGGATGAACAGTTCTTAACTCAGGACCTATGAACCTCTAGGTTGCAAATCCCCAGAAATTATTGGTAAAAATCTGATGATATGTATTCACACTTCTGGGTAGAAGATTCATAATTCTCATCACATTCTCAAAGGAGTTTGTGATACAAATGGGATTCAGAAAAGGAGCGCAAAGTTGCCCTACAGAACCATTATTTTGTTAGAACGTGTTTCTCCATTATTATAAAAGCAATCCATGTTTACTGTAAACTTGGAATATAAAACAAGCATAAAGAAGACTATAAAATCAGCCCTGATTCCATCGTCCAGAGACATCCGTGTTAACATTTTGGTATGTATCCCTCCAATCCTTTTTCTACGCCAACATAAACACGCATTATCCTTCTAAACCTGGGCAAGATGCTCCTTCGTGATATGCTTCCTTCTACTTAAGACATCACAAGGCCGGGCGCAGTGGCTCACACCTGTAATCCTAGCACTCTGGGAGGCTGAGGCAGGCGGATTGCTCGAGGTCAGGAGTTCAAAACCAGCCTGAGCGAGACCCTGTCTTTACTAAAAATAGAAAGAAATTAATTGACCAACTAAGAATATATATAGAAAAAAATTAGCCGGGCATGGTGGCGCATGCCTGTAGTCCCAGTTACTTGGGAGGCTGAGGCAGGAGGATTGCTTGAGCCCAGGAGATTGAGGTTGCTGTGAGCTAGGCTGACGCCATGGCACTCACTCGAGCCTGGGCAACAAAGCGAGACTCTGTCTCAAAAAAAAAAAAAAAAAAAAAAAAAAGAAAAGAAAAGAAAAAAAGATTCTTTCCCCTTACCCCACTTCAAGTCAAAATTTCGATGTCCTGTGAAAGTTTTAAGAATTGTGGCTCACTACCAACCCACCCACCTCACATCTGCATGCCCTAATTTTCTGGATAATTTGAGAAAAAATGAGCATGTCTGAATAAAACCCATTCATAATTAACAAACATCTGTATAAAGGCATGTCTTATTTTACATAATGGACATGTTGGGGATTCCAGAAAGTTGTGTGTAAATGAAATGCTTTTTGTTTGTTTGTTTTTGCAACAGGGTTTCTCTCTGTTGCCCTGACTAGAGTAGCTAGAGTGTGGTGGCATCATCACAGGTCACTGCAACCTCAAACTCCTGGGCTCAAGCGATCCTCCTGCCTCAACCTCCCGAGTAGTTGGGACTACAAGCACATGTCCCTGGGCTTGGCTAATTTTTCTATTTTTAGTAGAGACGGGGTCTGGCATTGCCTCAGGCTGGTCTCAAACTCCCGAGCTCAAGCGATCCTCCTGCCTCGGCTTCCTAGAGTGCTAGGATTACAGGCATGAGCCACCCCACCTGGCCTGGGCCTATTTTTAATTTCTATAGGATTATCCTCAAAAGACAGCCCAGGATGATTCTTTTCTGTAAAATAAATAATAACCTGTGTCGCAAACCCACATTTTGCCTACCTGGAGTGCTGGAAGTCACTTATTTAGTTAATTTGCTCTGTAAACACTGTTACCCCACATAGGGTGCCTAACATTGTCTCGGAGTTGTGAGAGGGATTTTGATTTTTGTTTGGGTCTCAGTCTTGTCCCTTGGGGCTTTAGTAAGGAGTGTGGCAGAGTCCCTGGCAGCTGTGCCCCTACAATGCTGGGGTTGCTGTCACAACTGTTCCCACTGACTCCTCTGTCTTTGGGTACCAATAGCCAGAGGGCACAGCTGAGGGAAAACAGATACATGTGGACAGTGATCCCAGAGGCCACTAGCCCAGACAGTGGTGCCTTCTAACTGGCCAGCAATGTCAACTAGCAGTTTCTGTTTCAGTGGAAAATTGTTCCTTAAGGGAAGTTGCCGCCCCTCTGTGGTTTGCAGCAAGGCTAAAGGTTGTGACTGGTGGAGATATCATGGCACGCAGATGAACAACTCAGTCCTGAAGCAACACAGAGCCTGCCTGAAGTGCCCACATTGACTCAACTCTGCTTTTCAGTATTTCAATGTCACGCAACAAATCCAAGTTCATGATGTAGCTCAATGGAAAGAAACAAATGAGCAGGCAGGAGTCAGATACAAATGGGGTGTGTCCACAAAATGTCATTTTGAAGTTTGTGGTTTGGAGCTTGGAATGCTTTTTCCCAGAGAAAAACAGCACAATGTTTAAATGGTGGTAGATTCCTAGGCTAGACCTTAAAATTCTATATAATTCATAATATATGAGCTAAATACTCATCTGTTATGATGAAAAATTAGTAGGGAATGAAATGTCATTTTGCAATAATAATTTTAGAAAACAAAAAGGAGAGATTTTATTCATCTGAAACACTGGCACTTAAAGAAACCAGACTTAATAGAAAAGAAGGGGGAAGCTATTAACTTTGGGGAAGATTTTTTTTTTTTTGAGACAGTCTCACTCTGTTGCCCTGGCTAGAGTGCCGTGGTGTCAGCCTGCTCACAGCAACCTCAAACTCCTGGGCTCAAGTGATCCTCCTGCCTTAGCCTCCTGAGTAGCTGGGACTACAGGCATGTACCACCATGCTCAGCTAATTTTTTCTGTATATTTTTAGTTGGCCAATTAATTTCTTTCTATTTTTTTTAGTAGAGACAGGGTCTTGCTCTTGTTCAGGCTGGTTTCGAACTCCTGGCTTTGAGCGATCCTCCCGCCTCAGCCTCCCAAAGCGTTAGGATTACAGGAGTGAGCCACCGTGCCCGGCCTTTGGGGAAGATTTTGATAGGACTTCTGGGAACTTTCAACCTTTAGGGCTTGAAGTCACTGGTTCTTTTAGTCTAATTTTACTTCACAATTTATGCCCTTTTAATACCACCACAGTACTAAAACCTCTCTGGTTTACCAGCAGCCATGATTGGGGGTAGGGTTTTGGCTCTTACATGGGATTAAAGGGAGGAAAATTTTACTAAAGTAACTAAGTACTGGTTGAAAAGAAGCTTTAGAAGATAAAAGTCAAAGGTGAAAGAGGATATAAGTGAAAGAAGATTGTCTGGGGTAGAATTACTGTGCTCAACATGGTGAAAGATGGGGGTGAGAAGAAAGAA